CCTGACGAATGGAGCTCATTACCTCCGCCTTCGTGCTGCGGGGTCTGTCCAATGTCTCCTCGACATTATCCAGACTTAGCAGAATTTGAGCCCCAACCTCTGCTGAGCTCGGCTGGTTTGCGTAACTGACACTGTGTGCCCGCTTCGCCAAACCAGTTCCGTCTTCATCTTCGTGTCGACTATTCCCACGCTTCCGCGACTGCCTGCGTGTCTCCCTCTCCGACCCTATCGAGGCTGAGCTATCGCTCTCTCCACCTCGATCACCTCCATCAAGCGGCAGCGGAGTGGAGGGTCTGAAGAAAGGTGTTTTTAATAAACGCGACCGCAACCGCCGTTCGTCACTCTCGCTCGCCTTAGTTGAGCGTTTCTCCTCTCTGAAAATTCGTTGTCCGTTGTCGATAAAGCCAATGTCGTTAGTAGATCCGTCCGTTGTTGTTGGTTTTTGTTTTTTCGATAGGATTTCGATAACCTGCGAAGTAAGTTTCGATAGGCTACGAGGTAGATTTCGATAACCTGCGAAGTAAGTTTCGATAGGCTACGAGGTAGATTTCGATAACCTGCGAAGTAAGTTTCGATAGGCTACGAGGTAGATTTCGATAACCTGCGAAGTAAGTTTCGATAGGCTACGAGGTAGATTTCGATAACCTGCGAAGTAAGTTTCGATAGGCTACGAGGTAGATTTCGATAACCTGCGAAGTAAGTTTCGATAGGCTACGAGGTAGATTTCGATAACCTGCGAAGTAAGTTTCGATAGGCTACGAGGTAGATTTCGATAACCTGCGAAGTAAGTTTCGATAGGCTACGAGGTAGATTTCGATGTGTGCGTTACCCCAGCAAAATAATGTCGAAAATGGTCATTTAAACGTTATAGATAATTAGTTGCTCCCCTTCTGTAATTGTTAAGCACATTTTTAAATTTGTTTCACTTAAACTTTTTTAGTTATTTCAAAAAAACATTTCCTGCTGGGGTAACGTTTGAAACGTTACCGCAGCCAGACATTTTCTTTTTTAATTGTAATATTGAAATAAATTTTAGCTAAATAATTAGTTATCTGGACTAGGTAAATGTTACAACTTATTTGGTATTTGTATTTTCTTCGGCTGCGAAGTTATTCGAAATCCTGCTGGAGTAACGTTTGTGGGTTTGCTGGATCTCTGAAACGGGTAAGCGGATTGTTACTATCTTTTGTACATAACTTCTTAAGGATTAGTTTTAATTTGTTCGACAATAAAGTAAAAAAATAATGGACCGTTTAAAAACTATTTAGGTAAGTATGAAAACACTTAAATACGTCCTAACACTTTAAATAAGACCTCTTAAGACTTACTTGAAACGTTATTCTATTGCTTGTAACTACCTTCAAATGTATACGAATTTTCGTAGGAATACTGTAAGTGACTAAAAAGTTATGATGAAATGTAGCTCTCCACGTTCACGATCAAAATGTATGCGGCCTTTTTTGGCCACCGATAAACCTGTGTGTGGATATATAAACTGAATGTTATGCCAATAATTAGTTGTTTAGTTCAGTTGTCTACCTGTAGAATTTCAGCGTCGTACATATAATAATTTACGAAATAATTAAATAAAAGTCATTAGAAGGTGCAAGTCCGTGGTAATCCGACCATGTTTAGGTGGTTACAATAAAGCGATCACCCAGTACATTGCGCTGTCTTTTAAAATGTTTAGTGTAATACACCTTACGATTTCGGTACAGTTGCTTACAGTGTTAAATACATTCAATATTTATTCATTATTATTACCTATTATTTATTTTGTTTTTTTCCCTAATTGATCTTACGCACTAGTTTCTTTACTTAAAATTAATTTAGTCTTTTTTACTACCGGAGCTACAATCAACAGAAAATCTGCACTGGTCCGCTAAAATTATAAATATGTAGATACATGTATGAACGATTCACCTGACTGCAATAAAACTAAAATTTAAACCAATAAGAAATCGTTTCATTTCTTTGATTTTTTTTTTGTGAAGAAATAACACTAAAGTAATTGTATTTTATTTTGGGGTGTATAGAGCTTAGACTTGAATGCATCAAAATATTTAAAGCAACAAGTTATCTACAATAAGTTAAAATAGACCAAATAGTAGAAGAATACAGTTGTAAATTAGAATGCATCAACATTGCATCGCCCAACAGACGTATACCTCGTAAGAGTAGGTAATATTGTTCTGTGGTCTATACCTAGAACCGAGAATTATCTATACCTATGTACCTACCGTTAAGCGTTGAGCCCGTTACTGTTGATTTCTGTTAAAAACGAACAGTTGTTGAATGATATTTTGATATAATAACGGTAATTTAATTTATCGAGTGAAAGTGATACATTTTTATAGATAAAATTATTGGTCAGATAATATTTGTCAATCAAGAATCGCTGATAATACATCCTTCGCTAGAACGCGGGAGGGGAGGGGCGAAGGGATACTTCATTGTTTGCAATTTGCATCTAGTGCACTAAACTTGACCCTTAGGCAGATAATATACGTGTTGTAAAGTACGTGTGCGCTTCCGCTTTCTATTTTTGCAAATATTTATCGTATTCTTGAGAGTTCTTCAATATGTGTGTACCTAATTACTAATAATAGGCATTAATGCTAATTCGATTCAATTTAAGTAATTGTCAATTCTTGTCTTAGGATATTAATTACTAATGCTAATATTGAAATTTCGTTCAGGGTGAACAAATTAAAAACGATCATAACTTTTAGGTAGGTATATCACTTATTACCAATTTTACATAAATAATTTATTTTATTATAATTTAACTCACCGCGATTTTGTGATCAAATATTTTATTTTCTCCAACATTATTACAGAAATAATGCAATACAGAGTTTGTTCGCGATATGCTAGCCTAAGTCGATTCATCACTTAAAAAAATCCCCATCTATTCACAAAATACCTATTTACAACGCATACGTTACACTCTTCAAAACTTATCATTTCATTTCATATTTCTTAAATTACCTATACCTACCCTAAAATTAAACTTCAATTAACAAATACTACGCAGGTACCAATTCTATGAACAACTATAAACAATTCACCTAAACATTACGAGAAAACAAAAGCATTCAAAATAATACCTAATCTCCCGGCTGATTACTAATTATGCAATAAACAATCCTAAATAAAAAATATTTAAAAAACATGTAGTTTTTTGTAACACTTATGTACATATCCGTAGTAAACTTGCAAATAATATCCTACATATTTTAAAAGCCAGCACAATGTACTGGGTGATCGCTTTTTTGTAACCACCTAAACATGGTCGGGTTACCACGGTCTTGCACCTTCTAATGACTTTTATTTAATTATCTCGTAAATTATTATATGTACTACGCTGAAATTTTACAGGTAGACAACTGAACTAAACTAATTATTGGCATAACATTCAGTTTATATATCCACACACAGGTTTATCGGTGGCCAAAAAAGGCCGCACACATTGTGATCGTGAACGTGGAGAGCTACATTTCATCATAACTTTTTAGTCACTTACAGTATTCTTACGAAAATTCGTATACATTTGAAGGTAGTGACAAGCAATAGAATAACGTTTCAAGTAAGTCTTAAGAGGTCTTATTTAAAGTGTTAGGACGTATTTAAGTGTTTGCATACTTACCTAAATAGTTTTTAAACGGTCCATTATTTTTGTTATTTTATTGTCGAACAAATTAAAATTAATCCTTAAGAAGTTATGTACAAAAGATGGTTACAATCCGCTTACCCGTTTCAGAGATCCAGCAAACCCACAAACGTTACTCCAGCAGGATTTCGAATAACTTCGCAACCGAAGAAAATACAAATACCAAATAAGTTGTAACATTTACCTAGTCCAGATAACTAATTATTTAGCTAAAATTTATTTCAATATTACAATTAAAAAAGAAAATGTCTGGCTGCGGTAACGTTTCAAACGTTACTCCAGCAGGAAATGTTTTTTTGAAATAACTAAAAAAGTTTAAGTGAAACAAATTTAAAAATGTGCTTAACAATTACAGAAGGGGAGCAACTAATTATCTATAAAGTTTAAATGACCATTTTCGACATTATTTTGCTGGGGTAACGCACACGATTTCGATAGCCTACGAGGTAATTTCGATAACCTGCAAAGTAAGTTTCGATAGGCTACGAGGTAGGTTTTGATAGCCTACGAGATAGGTTTCGATAGCCTATGAGGCAAGTTCCTATTTTTTTATTTTGTAAAATTAATTAAACTAAATAATTTACTTTATACTTTATTTAAATATCATGATTTTACTAATTAGTCATTTATTATTAACTTAGAATCATTTACAAACTTAACACAAAGTTCTATTTGGTTACTGACTTGTTGTTGATATTAGAATTAATTGGAACATATTAATGAAGTTAGATATACAATATATACAGTATGAGTAACCACATAGTCACTGTTGCTTGATGAGGATATTCAAATGGCAGTTACAATATTTTTTATCAACAAATATCACAAACATCAAAAAAATTATTCATGTTTTGTTTTACAAAATTATTTTAAGATTTACTACAAGATGGACTATATGTGGGCTTATGACTATTACATGTATTAAGATGTTGTATTTATGGGAGGTAGTTGGAAAATAAAATTAAGATTAGCCTTTAAATAACATTAGGCATTATGGTTGTTTTACAAGTCAATTATGATAGGAGGGGTAAAAAATTATTTCTAGCTGACAATTAATTTATTTCATAATAAAGAAAGTCAACATTAGAAGTTTGTCGTAGGTTAACCTATTTCACCAACCTTTGCTATCATTTGTTCAAAGATAAGCTTACCTCACCTTTCTATTACAGCTATGTGCATTGGTTAGTCAAATGTACTCTGAAATGAATACATTTGAGTTAATTTGTACCTACTTATATAGCCCATCTTATATACTCAGCCATTTTGGAATATGTTTTTTTTTTTATTATATTTAGGTATGTTAAACAAATTAATAAAAAAATCCTTGTCAATATTCTTGTGAAGAGGTATTTGTGTTGTGCTTGATTTTAGAAGTTTTCTTAGGCAGTAATTGTCGCTCAATATGTGGTAGTACCCCACCCTGGGTTATTACTACACCACTTAACATTTTGTCCAGTTCATCGTCATTGCGGATAGCCAGTAGGATGTGACGGGGGTTTACCCTGTAACAAAAATGGAAATATTACACCAGATATTTCTTTAGTAGCATTGGGGCTTATTAATGCTACCTACAACTATAAATTTATTTAGCAAATTTATTGTTCTCTACACACATAGTATATAAAATAGTCATTCCCTAATCCAATCACTTGGCATAAGTTTGGTGGCATATATTTTCAAATAAAAGTAACTTGGAGATATTTAAGATTCCTCATTGGTCTGTAAATAAAAATCTATCAATACTGGTAGATCTACAGAAATATTTAGTCTTGTGATCATTGCCTTACCTTGATTTTTTATTATCTTCAGCGGCCTTAGCCGCCAATTCTAAGATCTCAGCTGATAAGTACTCCAATACAGCAGTAAGATAAACAGAGGCGCCAGCGCCTACCCTAGGTGCGTAGTTACCATTTTTCAGAATTCTATGTACTCTACCCACAGAGAACATTAGCCCAGCACGATGGCTGCGAGTTTTCGCTGGAGCCCTCTTACCACCGTCTGCAAAACGTTATTTTAAATATCATGGAAAAAATACTACTTATGAAATACTACAGCAAAAGTGTGCTTTACTTACGGTGGACAGGCGGCATAATGAAAAAAAAAAACAATAATCTCTGATATTAAATTGAATATAAGAATAATATTATTTAAGTCTTGAATTGAATTGAATGTCAATCCGTTTGTAGATTAGGCGGGAAATTAGAGTCAGGACGCATAGTGTTGCCATTTGCCAATTGTGCTATTTTCCTTCTAAACCACGTCTTTTAAACTATAATTTATTTAAAGTATAAACAACGCAACAACTATAAGCAAGCGCTTGCGATCATAAAGATAATATATAGTTAGAGGAGAAAAGCTAGCTACGATTCGGGGATGTTGGTAGGACTAGATTACGACACCTGAGGCCGGCCGTAGGAGTGGTTTTAAGTGGAATCACCACATATTCCTGGCTCCTGAGTCCCCGAGGAGCTGTAGATCCGAAGGGATGTTCAACCCTGTGGGTTCGTGAGTGAACCACAACGGAGAGTTTTTTGGTAAAAGGACAAACTTTACTTTTGATGTGTCAGATTTAGTCCCAAAATTTTTAACATTTTAAAATTCTAAGATTTTTGAAATCTGCTCTCAATTAAATAATCTTCAACCAAAACTTACATTTTATGTAACTTGTCACTTACAATTTAAAATTTTTAGATACAGTTAACTAAAGTTTTTGAATAATAACTGACATAACTAATCCAATATTTAGGTGATGAATATATTGTCCTGCCGTTGTTTCTGAACGCAACAGTTTTATGATATTGGAATGGATAATATAATTATATTTTAATTGGCAATTTTGACCAATTTTGTTTGACATCTTATTACATTTGCACCGCTCTGACAGGAGTTTTTATTTAATGTTGATTTGGTGTAATAAATATGCGCGTGTCGAATTTTATTCGGATTTAGATTGTTCTAACATCAAGGGTGTTTACATCTGTATTTTTTTGAGTTAAATTTGAGTTCTTCCATTTAGTGAACTGAATTAGCCGTATAATTTTCTTTATTACCGGTAGTGTTTTAGGTTATTCTAAGTTAGGTGTAAGATAAAATGAATAGAAATCGGTGTTGGAACCAAGATATGCGGGGTCGTTCTAGAGGGGGCTTTAACAGAGGTGGGCGCGGTAGTAACCGAGGATGGTCATGGAACCACGGCGGATATAACGGACCGAACCAGAGCTTCGGTGGTGGTAATCGCTACAAAAAAGACTGCCAACCTCAATCCAAACATTGGAAAAACAAAGAAAAATGGGTAAAGAGGGATTCTCCTGGGAAGCGTTTGTCAGAGGATCTCATAGGTGTCACAGAATACATCAGTAGCCATGAAGGATTCAATGGAATAATTAAATCTAGGTATCCCATTACTCATCCTATCTGCCTTTTTTTTTCGTCTGAGCCTTTTTCCCAAATCAGGTTGGGTTCGCCTTCTTTTTAAAGTCCACTAAATAAAGATATAACTGTAATTCCATTTTTACATGGAGCAACTGCCAACACACCTCCACAAACCAAGTACTAGGTGATATCAAAATTCTGTAGAAAGACTAATATCAGGCTTTTTAGGGCTCCATCTAACCATAATGATTGCTGCAGATGTTTATATGCCAACCAGTACCAATGGCTTAACATGCTTTCCGAGGCATGGAGGGGTCTCAATATGTTAAGAATAGTCACCCATCCATGGATGGACCTGGCTAGGATTGCTTAACTTTGCACTGTGTTAACTTACTTAGTTACCACTTAGCTACGGGCCCCTCTATCTGTATATAATGTTTTTAACAATACAGACTAATGTAGTTTTTTTGTTTGTTTATACATGCTAAAATCTGTGCCCTTGTTTGCTCCCTATACCATTAATAAAATACAGCAACAGAACTTAGTGGCCAACAGTTGGACACTATTTTTTGTTTGATGCAGTATAAGCATGTACAGTGTATCTAGACAAATTAATGATCTAGGTTTTGAATATCTTTGAATAAAATATAGTAGTTATTTTATTGTTTTCCAAAAATAATGTTGGATCTTTTTTAATTTTTACCTACAATATAATAGGTATTCAGATTTCCAAGTATCAGAAATGAATGAAAAGGGCGAGATAGCTAAGCTGACAGACACCAAGCCTCCAATGCGGCCATCAGATGAGGCTGTGGATGACGACGAAGATCTGCTCCTCAACAAGTATAATTTGGAAATCTTGCCAATGGAGACTTGGGATAAAATAAACTCCCTGGCTATTAACACTGTCAGTGAAGATGCTGAGAACCCCAAAGTTGAGGTATGAAATTTAAATATAAATGATTATACATATTGAAACGTATATATTCTTTTATGTTAGATACTTTGGCTATTTTCCACACGACCCTTCTATAAGGACACAATGTTTCTTGGGCTCCCCCTCAGTTGAGACATGAGCCGTAGATCACATACTTTATTTTTTAAATATTAAGAGCAAGATTTTTAAATTTTTGGGAACTTTCACCTTAGACCCCGTCCGCTCAGCGATATTTTACCGCAAGTTTTTATTTGCAAAATTCTGTGACACATGGGATCTTTATGACTATTAAAAAAATTTGGATGAAAAAATCCACAATTATTTTTCTCTGTAATTAAAAAAAAAATGCATACTGCATATTATTAAAGCAATGTAGTAAAACATTAAAATCATCAGATTTCATAATAAACGTCAGTTGTTTTACATATAGAGGTATTACACGTTGTGCCCGATTGGAACCCAAAAAAAGTTCCCACTGTTTTAAGGGAAGTAGCTGACGTGACTGGAACTGATGAGACAGGCATTTAGATTATTATACTTGATATTTACAGCGAGCCAGCCAAGGAACAGTTATTGCTCTATTTATTTTAATATTTTTTTCCTTATATAATAATCTAATATTTAAGTTTAATCGTTATCGATTTTGTTTATGCAGATAGATATGGAAGGAGTGACCAAGGAACAACGAACTAAAATTCATGATGCCGTCAAGAAGGCCTTTGGGGACAGCATTGTGGGCAGCACTGTTAACGTTGGTGACAAGAAGTTTATGCGCTTTGAAAAATATAGGAAGGGAGGTGAGACATTTTGATATTGTGCATATTTCTTTTTCTCCTACTGTTTAATATGTATAAGCAGTACTGGTTCTGACCACGTTCCAAAAGCCAATCACAATTAACATACAAAGAAATTAATAATTTATACTGTTGAGATGTTAGAAATGTATTATTTTGTTATAATCATGTTCTCAGTACGCATAGACAACAGAGTGAAGTGGGTTTGGCCAGGCGAGTATGTGTACTTCATAGTACACAAAGAAAATTGTGATACCATGGATGCGGCAGCACGAATTGCTGAAAGGATCGGTGTACAGTAAGTTTCAAACTGTTTTATACGTGTTAATAACTTGGATGTTCCAAGATACGAAATGTTATGTAGGGAGTCTAATTACATAGCACATAGTAGTAGTGGAGTATAATTACATACATACATCTAGATACAGATATAGCAGGCAGATCTTAATATGGTTCCAGCCTGAAGCCCTCGACCATCGGCTACGCAGGCACGAAGGACCGGCGCGCCAAGACGTCGCAGTGGTTCAGCGCCAAGCGCGTGGACCCAGCGCGCATCGCAACCGCCTGTCGCTACCTCAGGGACATACATGTTGGGAACTTCAGCTTCGACGACACTAACCTGAAGCTCGGCATGCTCAAAGGGAACAAGTGAGTTACAACTGCTCAAGTTTACCCAAATTACGAATATTTCCATGGGATCTATAAGATGAGATGTGTTTTGTCTTTTTCTACTTCAGATTGCTTAAGTTAAGCCTGAAACTGGTTGCAATAATACTGTTTGTCCATCGTTATAATTATTATTAAGTCATAAAAGTAGTTTGTCATGTAATCTTGATACAATTTCATCATTCTTATCTCAGACATGCTCTGAAGCAATTTATTCATAGACTAATAATTATACAACACCTTCCTATGCAAAATAATCATTCTAAAACACATTTGACTGAATTAACTGTATTTACAATACAGTTAATTTATCCTTTATGGTGTTTAAACAAAAACTTTCTTAAAATTCCTTTATTTAAAATAATTTCTGACCTTACAAAAAACATTTACTTTATTTACAGATTCCGTATTGCACTCCGTAATGTCACAGCTGACCAAGAGTCTGTGGACTCCGCGTGCCAATATCTTAAAGATCAAGGTTTTATTAACTATTATGGACTGCAGAGATTCGGTTCTAGGATCGACACGCCCACTTTCGATATTGGATTGAAGTTGTTGCAGGGGAAATTTAAAGAGGTATTTATTATTTCAATTTTATTACTTTCGTAGAGTTATGCATTTTAATTTTAATATGGGATGCATGTGGGATTTTAACGTGTTTTCTCTAGCTTTCCTGCAATATGTGGGCTTTGGTTAAGTTAAAAGGATGGAAGTATGTAACAGGAAACCATTGATTTCGGACGCGCCATTGATTTGACCAATGAGCTGGCGCCGTGCTAGAGTTGGCCGTCACATAGAACGTGAGGAGTTAGGTGTTACACATCATTACTCACTGCCTCGGAAACTAGATGGCGTTGTGAGTCAGATGTCCGAAAATATTTAATTATATTTCATTAAATCATAAAATTACTAATATATTTTTAATAAAATTTACAAATTCCACATTATTAATCCACAATAATGTTCGGATTGTTAATACGAATTTACACAAGCAGATTCATATAATTGGTATTTCGTTGTGTAGTGGTATCACTAAGTTAGTTACCAAAGAGACACAGGGGTTAATATACTTCTTCCGAGCAATTGATATAGTGACTTGGTAGCTGCTGTACTGAGCATATGCTGCTACTTTACTTTGGGAAAAATGGACTGCTGTGATATAAATAAAGTAAATAAATTCATCCCGTGGGTGGTGCAAGAGCCGACTAACAACAGCACTGCAGAGACAAGGAAAACTTGACATAAACTTTATACCAATCCGTCTGGCTAGCGTGGTATATTAGACTAAAACCTTTTTTCTAAGGAGAGGCTTTTGTTCAGCACGAGGAAATTAAAGGCTGTCGATGATCAGTAGGTAGAGAATTGGCTTTGGATTATTTCCTGTAGGAAGTGAGACAAAGCGGGATGTTATATTGAAACGAAAAATAAAACGTGTTCATCTATTATCAGCTTTTCATAGTTCACCGCTCGGCATAAGCCTTTCCTTCGTCTGGAGGTTGCCTACTAGGCATACTACATCGGCTGAACGGTCCGGTCTAGGGTCACGTTAAGTTTTTTTTCTCTGCCGTGCTGTTGTCCTGCGTAGTTTGTCTTTTTAGTCGATTTTTTACGTTACTCACGGGACGTATGGAGATGGTCGCATTTCGTTTTCTTAATCGGTCACGGCACACGGTAGAACGTATCGGTCACTGACGAAGGAGCGGTTGCAGGCTATCGACGCGATCCTGGAGCCGCGCGAGGGTCCGCTGGAGGAGGTGCTGCGCGTGAACGCGTCGCGCGGCGCCCTGGCGGCGAGCGCGCTGCTGCCGCGCCGCGCCGCGCACAGCGAGGCGCGCCTCATCCGCGCCCTCGCCGCCGCGCCGCACGACCTGGTGGGCGCGCTCAGCAGGGTACGTACCGACCCGCCGGTCTAGCCGCGAGCCGCGGGAGGTGCCGCGCCGCACGACCTGGTGGGCGCGCTCAGCAGGGTACGTACCGACCCGCCGGTCTAGCCGCGAGCCGCGGGAGGTGCCGCGCCGCACGACCTGGTGGGCGCGCTCAGCAGGGTACGTACCGACCCGCCGGTCTAGCCGCGAGCCGCGGGAGGTGCCGCGCCGCACGACCTGGTGGGCGCGCTCAGCAGGGTACGTACCGACCCGCCGGTCTAGCCGCGAGCCGCGGGAGGTGCCGCGCCGCACGACCTGGTGGGCGCGCTCAGCAGGGTACGTACCGACCCGCCGGTCTAGCCGCGAGCCGCGGGAGGTGCCGCGCCGCACGACCTGGTGGGCGCGCTCAGCAGGGTACGTACCGACCCGCCGGTCTAGCCGCGAGCCGCGGGAGGTGCCGCGCCGCACGACCTGGTGGGCGCGCTCAGCAGGGTACGTACCGACCCGCCGGTCTAGCCGCGAGCCGCGGGAGGTGCCGCGCCGCACGACCTGGTGGGCGCGCTCAGCAGGGTACGTACCGACCCGCCGGTCTAGCCGCGAGCCGCGGGAGGTGCCGCGCCGCACGACCTGGTGGGCGCGCTCAGCAGGGTACGTACCGACCCGCCGGTCTAGCCGCGAGCCGCGGGAGGTGCCGCGCCGCACGACCTGGTGGGCGCGCTCAGCAGGGTACGTACCGACCCGCCGGTCTAGCCGCGAGCCGCGGGAGGTGCCGCGCCGCACGACCTGGTGGGCGCGCTCAGCAGGGTACGTACCGACCCGCCGGTCTAGCCGCGAGCCGCGGGAGGTGCCGCGCCGCACGACCTGGTGGGCGCGCTCAGCAGGGTACGTACCGACCCGCCGGTCTAGCCGCGAGCCGCGGGAGGTGCCGCGCCGCACGACCTGGTGGGCGCGCTCAGCAGGGTACGTACCGACCCGCCGGTCTAGCCGCGAGCCGCGGGAGGTGCCGCGCCGCACGACCTGGTGGGCGCGCTCAGCAGGGTACGTACCGACCCGCCGGTCTAGCCGCGAGCCGCGGGAGGTGCCGCGCCGCACGACCTGGTGGGCGCGCTCAGCAGGGTACGTACCGACCCGCCGGTCTAGCCGCGAGCCGCGGGAGGTGCCGCGCCGCACGACCTGGTGGGCGCGCTCAGCAGGGTACGTACCGACCCGCCGGTCTAGCCGCGAGCCGCGGGAGGTGATGGGCGCGGGCGGGCTGCGGGAGGTGCTGCGCGTCAATCTACCTTAAACCCTACCAGAACCAGACCCTATATTCTTCAGTTTCATATAAGTTCTTAAACAATATAAATTTTAGTTGAAAATTATGTTCAATGAAAATGTTATATGAGAATACACCCTAATGTCGCGGTCACGCAGAGTGCACTGCCTTTATACACGTTTGTTCTAAATAGGTAAACGCGTAACTCGTTTATTGCTCTAAAGTGTTCGGTTATATAACACCGAACACGAGGAACTTATCGAATATTGCTGACGTAGGTCTATGCTATTTATAAACCACATAGAACAACATCAATATAATTACCGATACTTTTTTTAAATTAACGGTAATGGATAATTTCTTTATGGTTCCAAATTCAAATTTTTCTTTTTTTTGTCGTTGTTAAATTAACACAACTGTTTTCTATTTTGGCGCGGAGTTCGAGTTGCATCTGTCATTTATATTAAATACAGTGCTGTTTTAGATATTTAGTTATACCATATCTAGTGTGTATTGCGAATTTCATGTTAGACAAAAACATCGAACAAAGAGTTTGTCTTAAATTTCTCATCGCAAATGGAATTTCGTGTTCGGAATCACTGAAAATGTTACATAAGGCTTACGGTGAATCGACTTTATCAAAAACACGTGCTTATGAGTGGTACAAAGCGGTCGAGATGTGATGGAATCAACACATCAACGTTTGCAACTGAAGTTAACATCGCAAATATGAAGGAAATAGTGACTGAAAATCCTCATTCAACTTTGAGTGAGATAGCCACCGAAATTTTTGTATCTCACGAGTCAATCTATACCATTTTACCTAATCATTTGGGTATGAAACATGTTACCGCTCGGCTAGTCCCAAAAGACCTGAATTTTCTCCAAAAACTCAATCGCATGAGAGTCGCTGAGGACATGCTAGAAAGAGTCAATTCCGACCCAACATTCATGAAACGCATTGATACTGGTGACGAGACGTGGGTTTACGAGTTTGAAATGCGAACTAGTCAACACGCTTCGGAGCGGCCGCCTTCCAACTGAACCGAAACCGAAACACGTCAAAGTCGTTTGAAAAGTCAAAGTCATGTTGACTGTTTTCTTTGACTATCGCGATGTCGGAATTCTTGCCGGCTATATATATTATTTGAGCGTTATGCGGCATTTAAGAGAGCAAATTCGACGAAAAAGGCCAGTTGTGGAAAGAAAATTCTTGGATTTTGCACCACGATAATGCGCCTTCGCACAAGGCCATCATTGTGAACGATTTTTTTACCAAACACAACAAATACCATCGAGCATATTCACCAGATATGGCTCCAACCGACTTCTTTTTTTTTCCTAAACCCAAATTACCACTTCGTGGCACCCGTTTTCAATCGGTAGAAGACATAAAGGAGAATTCGCGCCGAGAACTCACCTTAATTCCGAATACAGCGTTTAAGAAATGTTTCTATGATTGGATTCGTTGGCGTAAGTGTATCGTTTTTGAAGGAGCATACTTTGAAGGTGATAAAATGAATTTGGATGAATAACAAACATTTTGTGTATTATTGATCTTTTCCCGGTACTTTCTTGACAGAGTAGTATCTCGATTCCCATACTAGTTGTCTAACTAAACCCAATTCGTAAAACCTCTTCCTACGTTAAATATGTCATTAAAGAAATCACAATTAAAAATCGGTTGTCTGTAAAGTCGGTTTACTGACGATAGTTGAACGTGACAACGTCATAAGAAAATACTGATGGAATGGTTGCATTTTACGAAAACATGTTAATGTATTATTGTATAGCAGCTGTCCACGCGGAAGCATCGCTTACTCAAGTAGGAGAGAGAGAGATGTCAAACGCTGCCGAAGGCGGAGGCCGATTGTGCCTCTTTGTCGCTCGTTCCGCGCTCTCGCTTGCACTTCAAGCCTTAAATGGAACGCCTCAGAGCGAGGTAACGCCCCATGAGTCATGTTTTATCGTGCGTGCAGCCGGCTCCATCGAATTATAAGACGTTGTCACGTCAAAAATATTGTTATACATTTAGTTTCCGTCTATAAAAAACAACCATGAAGTACTCAAAATGATAAAATTCATAGTGTAACGAGTGCTAATCTAATCTGATGTGGTCCCTGACAGCTGGCCCGCAACATCCGCCTGCTGTACCTGCACTCGTACCAGTCGCTGGTGTGGAACCGCGCCGTGTCGGAGCGGATCCGACGCTTCGGCCTCAAGCCCGTCGCCGGGGACTGCGTGCCGCTGCCCAACGTCGAGATCAAAGGTATACTCTACTGCTCGCATTTAATAAATATTTCATTTATTCACTTTTAAAATAGTATTACCGACTTCAATGTGTCTACATCAAAACGAATTATAATAATAAACTATATTCTCCATTCCTTAATTTCCCAGCATTAGAAATAGTAACTTTATGTATTAATATTTTAATGGGACCGAACTGAAGGTATTCTTTCCCAAATGTAAAAACAAACATAGGCATTCTGGAGGAGTGCCGACTGAAGTGAAAACTGATTTTTTTTTGTATTTTTACTTATATACAGAGGTGTCGATAAGGGTTCCGAATTCCAAGGGTTTTTCCATCTCAAAAAACGTTTTGTTCAAAAATGCCCAACGCGCCTATAGAAGTTTATGCTTCAATAATGATCTGAATCGATTTATAAATGACGGAGTTCTGAAGTGTCAAATACAAATATGAAAAAAAAAAAAACAACCAACACTGATAACAAGTTTTGTCCGTGTTTACTACTTTGCTAACAAATTGATTACATGAAGAAATATTTCGTGATGTTGCATCCAGGAACCCTACCTTACCAATAATTATTTTTCGCCAAAATATTTAATTTTTATTCTTTTGAGTATAGGTATTGCCTACTTCAATGCGTCTTAATATATTAAAATATCAAGACTAAACGAGATCAAGTTTGAGTTGTAACCATTTCAATAAAGGAGCGACCTTACCGTCGCATCATATGATATGTTACTTCTGACCCCTACCATCTGACGGTCAACTCCATGATCGCGCGCCCTCTTTGGTTAAATCAAATAACGCGCACTTCTCCGCTTTGCTGTTCCGGAATTTCTACAATGCAGGAAAACGAGATGCACATGCGGCACATTAAAAATAATTACTAAAAACTATTTACAAATCGTAAAGATAAAACAAAAAAAAAAGCAGCCAACTTTGAGAACCATTTCTGTTTTTAAGGACATAGTTTTATTAATATGTCCTTGGTGGGCGGAATGTATAAATTAAAATATGTTACATTGCTCTTCGATAGATGTCGCTGTGCCGTTTGGCTAAATCCCGGTATAGTTTCGTTACCGCAATCAATATAAATTGTTTTGATTTCTTTGTATTGAACGAACATCCTTTTACCTATTGTGTAAAGTGTTACCTAGTGATTAATAAAACTAGTTGTAAAGTCAGTGGTTTTAATTAAGGCTCCTGGGGATCCATTTGTACAGTCGGTTTTCAGAAACTACTACTATTTGTGTTTAATCTTTATTTCATTATCTACTTACATCACCGTTTTACTAATAATTATAATTTTAGATTCTCTACACGGCGATTCGGACTCTGAAGATGGCGAAGGAGAAGACGACGCCACTCCTACTGCATCCGACTCCACATTAGAATCTGATACCAAACCATCGGTGAAGAATGATAGTAAGAAGAAGCAAAAACATGACCCTCACAAACCCCCCCTTCCCATCAAGATCCTGAGCCAGGAGGATGTGGATACCGGCAAATATAACGTGTTCAACATTGTGTTACCGTTGCCCGGAGCCTTCGTGGCCTACCCTCCAAATATGATCGACTTTTACGAGGAGGTGTTGACGAAAGATGGCTTGAAAATGGATATGAAACATAAGTTGAAGTAAGTTATTGTTTTTACACAGAAATGTTAGATATAGCTTGTTAGTAAAACTAGGAAACTATACATAGGATGATTATATAGAATAATCAATAACGCGTTTACGCCCCGGGCCTAATATGATCATCTGTCGTCAATATTACAGGTGATATAAGGACGGTAAATCTATCGTTGTTGACTTGACTGCAGGGATGGCGTAGTGGTTTAAGCGGTTGCATCGCCGCTTCCTACTACGCCTAGGGTTGTGGGTTTAAACCCCACATGGGACGACACTTTACGTGATCCACAAATTGTTGTTCGCGGTCTGGGTGTTCTTTGTGTCCGTTTCATGTATGTTTGTAAAGTCCCTCGCGACACAGGATATATTCCTAATGCGGAAGAAATAAATAAAAATAGTTTTATATTTATTAGACTTCAGCAATGCCTTTAACACTGTTGACTATGATTTTCTCTTAACCAAATTAAATTCTCAGCATATATTATCTCCAACGACTATTGATTGATTTCGCGGCTATTGACTGGTTTCGTAGTAACCTGTTTGGTGTGACAATGCGTCCGATGGGATGATAACTATTCTACCTAGTCCAACAATTTCCTGGTGTGCCACAGGGTGGTAATTTATGTCCTTTACTTTTTTCAATATACAACGTGTCCCAAAATTCAACGATAAGCCGGTACCGGTTTATGGTCGGGTCAATAACCACCCATGGAAAAATAATAAAAAAAAAACAGCTCTTTTTTTTTCAAAGTTACATTAACTTTTTTGAAAAATGTTGTAATTTGATACCCTACACCCTATGATTAGATACTGTGGTTACAAATGTGAACATATCCCCACATTTTTTTTGTATTAGCTACCTAAGTAACATAACTATTAATTGCAGTTCCAAATAGGACCTATACATTCACAGTTTTTAATATAAAAATAAAATAAACAATCTTTTTTCTTGAAATTTTTGAATATTTAAACTTTTAATCAACTTTGACATGCTACTGTGTAAAAAAAAGTATGAAATGTACTATGGCATGTTATTACAAAAGTTAGCGCAACTCATTACAATTCTAAAATGATGCAATACTATGACAACACTTGTAAAAATTATAAGAATTCTCTTATCAAGACTCAAAGAGGATTATTCAGTTTAGTTTTTGAAAACTTTACCCACTGTTCAAAAAAGGGTTTTAAGACTGTATCAATGAAAGTCATAATGAGAAATTAAGATATTTATTGCGTACTTAAATTAAATGTTCAAATTGTTGACCATCTGCGTCAACACACGCGTGACAACGCCTTAAAAATGATCTTTTAATGAGTCTCGCATATCCCCGTCTGTTCATATCTTCTGCAGCCTCCAAGATTCTTTGACGCAGTTCGTCAATTGTTGTAATTGGTTTGGCATAGACTTTGTCTTTCAGGCAACCCCAGTAAAAAAAGTTAATGTAACTTTGAAAAAAAAGAGCTGTTTTTTTTTTATTATTTTTCCATGGGTGGTTATTGACCCGACCATACACCGGTACCGGCTTATCGTTGAATTTTGGGACACGTTGTATATAGTTCAATCCCGAATAGATTTTTAAACTGCTACCACTTTTACGCAGATAATTTGTAAATTTATTGTCAAATGAATTAAATTCCACTACAATCATCAATAAAAATCTGTTCAGTATAAGTTAATGGATTGGAATGTATGAGCTTAGGGCTAAGCCTAGACTTACTGCTAAAATCGACCGATCTTTTGAAGGTGCTAGTGTTCCATATGCCATAACGAAGAGTATTTGGACATTTTTATGAATTGTCCAGCTAAAAAGCATCAGTACCTAAATATTTCCTTCTGCTACGGCTTTGAAGATTACGTATTTTCCTTCCAACTTTTACTAAAAGTTAACTCGTTTAATCGATTTTTCATATAATATTTTGTTTAATCCTACTGTTCTAAGTTATCTCACCATACTTTCTATGTATAAAAAGTAAATAATACCAGATTATACTAAATCGTTTTCTGGTAAGGTGTTCTCAGCTCATAAGTTTCTAATAATGCATTCCACAAGCGCGTTGTGGAATGCATTATTAGAAACTTAAGAGCACAATCACAAACTGCTGACAAACTCTTCAACAATCATTATTTATCTCCATAAAAATTACATATACATATTTTTTGTATGTATGTTTGTATCTATTTAGATATAAATACGGTGACGTGGTTGACGGATTAAGAGTCCGTGTGGTGACGGATTAAGAATACGGAATGTCACCACCTCTATTCATCCCGTGGGTGTCGTAAGAGCCCACTTAGGGAGTAAACTACGCAGGACAACAACACTGCAAAGAAAAGGAAATCTTGAAACAAACACTATATCAACCCGTTTGGCTAGCGTGGTATCGGCGTCGGCCAAAACCTCCTTTCTGAGGAGAGGCCTATGTCCAGCAGTGGACTATTATAGGCTGTTAACATTTTTGACTACCATCAGTAACTTCAGTACTAATTACAGTATAGTCCCTCCAGTCTGTCTGTAAGAGATAACAGACTGCAATAAGACCCCCCCATTGTACTGTAACTCAATATAAATACTATTCGTGGTGCAAAATGTTTAGTGGGCTGCATCTAAGAACCTATCCTAGTACCTGGTGATAACGTGTTAGATTAGCTTACTTGATATGGAATGAATGTAATCGATTGTGTTGTGGTAGGAGCTACAACATGTCGGGCGCGTACCGCCACATGGTGGTGCGGCCGCTGGCGGTGAGCTGGCAGCACGTTCGCTACTCCGACCCCTTTGCCGACCTCATCGCCTCCGACCTGGACGAGCTGGACAACCGCCCCATCACCGGAATTGTTGAAGGTGACAATAATTATATCGTGTTCTATGTTTCCCCACCCGCACTAGAGACAGTTAATCGTTTTGATGTAAATCCTAGTCAATTTTAGATGAAAATAGATCAAAGTACAATACCTATAAATGAAATCTAAAATTTAAAATCATTTGCTAAACATGATGAAACAGGTTTATAAGCGAATCCGAATCGTACGCCGTTAAAATAAGGTTTGTTTTGCATGTACTAGGAAAGTGATTGAAACTTGATTTCTTGTTTTTTTAATATCTGAAATTATTCTTTATATATTACCGTGGATCCACCAAAAAAATAAAAAGGGTTAAAAGTGGTATATTTTGTTAAATTTGAATTGCAAACAATACAAAAATCCTAAAATTTGGAACTCTTGAATTACTACGATTTATATTGATAAATGATTATAAATAAAACAAAATGGTAGTGAACATAAGTAAAAAGGTTTTATTTATTTTTTGGCCACCATGTTCATAAAGAAATAAATAGACGATCATATTTTTGAATTTAAACAGTATTAAAGTGCATGCTTCTATTAAATTACATGTTTTTTTTTTCAGATGGTAAATACAGAGCTCTTCTTTTGAATATGATATTACCATCCAGTTGTTACGCGACCATGGCTTTACGAGAATTACTCAAAGTGGACACGTCTAGCGATAACCAAGCTCTACAGAATAACTATCACAAGAGGAACAAGGCAGATCAGAAAGAGTCCGAGAGTGAGACAGTAGAAACGACCGAGTCGACGAGTGAGACAGCCAATGAAACTAGATCAGAAGCTGCTGCAATAACTAAGGAGGACTCAGAGGATGTTCAAGCAACAAATACAGATGAAGAGGTTAAGGCAGAAGAAGAGAATGAAATGAGTGAAGTAGAAGAGAACGATTCCGAGAATAATGGGGAGAAGAGGAAATTAGAGGATGGGTACGAGGAGATGGTTAAAAAAGTAAAGACAGAGAATTAAAAAGTTTAATTGGGTTTATATTGTTTTATTTATAGTTGGATGTTGATGCAAACATTGTTTGATCTGTAACAAAACATTAGAAATTATGAAATCCATATATTAATACGTAACGAAAATTCTTTGAACATTTTTAACAAATATGGTATTGGGAAGCATATCGTTTTGGAATATTTAAAGTTTATAAACAGAAGTACAGTAAGCTAAAAAATTTTAAACAGCATGTGTTATACATTGAAAAATTATATAAAAACACAAGGCTTCAGTGTTTATTTTGACCTGTCTTGGTACATACGGCAAACGACCTGGTCGAACCTGGTCAGTAATACAAAGTACCTGTAATTTAAATACACTATTGCTAAAGAAATTGACACCAACAACGCAGAATGATTTCGAAAAAAATTTGCAAATATATGAGTAAAGAAACGAACTATTTACAATTCACAAACATATAACCGTATAATAATGCACTTATCAGAATAATTTTGGGTTTTTATAAAGCTCGATTTAAACACCAGGTTGCAATTAGAAGATAATTATTTACGTTTATTAATAACATAAAAAGGAACTACAATTTTATAATGATTTTCTTTTACAATGAATGTCAGGACTGCCAAACGTAAAAACTAAACAGTCAGCCATTAAATAGTAGAATTGTGTTAAGGTTCTAAATTCAAAACAAATAACACACATGTGAAGCTGACCAGGTATTTCGTTTGCCGTGTGTACAAAAGACTGCAATAAGTTCAAGTTATACTGGTTCTTAATAATAGTATTTTCGGACATCTGACACACAACGCCATCTAGTTTCCAAACTAAGCAGAACTTGAAAGCTAAATTGACTTTATATACCTTCTTTTACCTACATAGAAAACAGTAATGAAATTAATACAGTATATTCAAAACGGACGAAATTCAGTAAAATAAATATGGCTCATTGCAACGTGTTTAATTACTTACTTCAAGTGAGTTACAATAGTAGACGATAAGAAATCAGAGGAGTAATCAGAATGTTTTAGGTAGGTAGGACGAAACTAAGGAAATATCTCCCAATAACATTAATAAAACATTTATTTAAGCGAAAACTAATGGTAGTAATGTGTGTGGTTAGAAGAGAGAAGAGTTATAAAATACAAGCTATTAGTGATGTGCCGAGTCGCTGTTTTGGTGGATCGAATCGACTCGAGTCGGTTTATACGGTATTCGAATCATGACTCGATTCCGCGATTCGAGCCTAGTACTCGAGTTCTATGTTTGGTATTCGAATGTTAACTCTAGTCCAGGACTCGAGTTTAAGACTCGAGTCTAGAAATTCGAGTCCAGAGCTCTAGTCCGTAAATTCGATATAGAAATTCGGGTCCAGAACTCTTCTCCCCTAGAATAGGGCCTGATTAGGCATGGTGTCAATTCGGGGAGGACCTGAAATAACATGTTCCGGGTCCTCCCCAGAGTAGGACACCTGAGGCCGGCCGTCGGGGGGGTTTTTAGTGGAATCACCACATACTCCTGGCTCATAGTCCCCGAGGTGCAGGAGATCCGAACGGATTTTCCACCCCAACAACAAAAAAAAAAGGCGTCACATCATTGCTTATGTAAACAGATATCGAGTACGAGCGAGTCAACCTAACTCGTATGCTAGATTCGAGTCACATGGAATCGCTAAACAGAATCGAGTCAGCGAGTACAAATTCGATTCTTCCTGACTCGAGTGCCGGAATCGAGTCCGGCGTACTCGAATCAAAATAAATTGGTATTCGAATAAGCGAGTCTAAAGCAGGAATTGAGTCTGACTCGAGTCAAGCCCTACTCTTCACATCGCTACTAGCTATCCGCCCCGGCTTCGCACGGGTGCAATGAAGATACTACTAATACTACTGGTGTGGTGTCAGTGTGTAGTAATTAATTATACTATTATTATGATAGGACTATGCTACAGGATATCTTTGAATGCAATATTTATAGGCCCGCTCCGTTCCTGCCGGCCGCTGCCACCCGGGACAGACGTTGAGTCCCCGTATTGTCAATCTCTAATATCTTCTAAAATATTCATTTTAATGGTATGCTGTAAAGAGCAATTTTAATCTACATTAAATTCACAACGTAACAAAAGGTATTTTGTTACATAAGGAATAATAATGTGTTGTTTGAAATGGCTTCGTAAATAACCCGTTATTTTTTTTGTAAAAATGGTTACTGTGGGTAATCCTTAGTAGATAGACATATACCATCGCGGCCTCTTTTGTCGATCTTTTTAAGATTTACAATTCCGTAGTACATTTTTTTGGTCTATCTCGTATAGGTTTAACCAGCGTTTGCTATGTAAGCGCACAAATTTTTTTTACGACAAATCTTTGAAATTCTCAGATTTTCTGTACAATAATATGTATTCATTATACAGGGTTTTCCAATAAGAGGTGTTATTTTAGTATTCAAAGAAAAATGCAATTTTTTAAGATAAATAATCGGCTGTTTATTTTATAATAAAGAGGAAGGTATGCCGTTAATAATGGAAGATAACATCAGCCAAAGTGCTACCACGACCACGCTTACAGGACCATATCCTTTTAATGAAATTTTGCATAACCAAATCGCAAAGTGGCTGCCCTATGTCCTCGATAGCCTCACGAATTCCATCTTTGAGGTCTTGAATCGACGCTGGGCTGTTCCCGTAGACCTTATCTTTCACGTAGCCCCAAAGTCGCAAGGTGTTAAATCACAAGATCTCGGTGGCCAATTGTGATCACCTCTTCGAGAGATAACACGGTCAGGAAACTTTTCCCGTAAAAGAGCAATGGTTTCGTTGCTTGTGTGGCACGGAGCGCCGTCTTGTTGAAAGTAAACGTTGTCCAGATCAATACCATCCAACTCCGGCCATAAAAAATCATTAATCATATCTCGATAGCGCAATCCATTCACCGTAAGTGTTGATCCAACCTCATTTTCGAAAAAGTAAGGTCCAATGACCCCGCCGGACCATAAACCGCAACAAACAGTCACACGTTGAGGATGGAGAGGCTTCTCAACAATAACTCTTGGGTTTTCCGAGCCCCAGATGCGACAATTTTGCTTGTTGACGTAGCCTCCTAGGTGGAAATGGGCCTCATCAGTCAAGATCATTTTTCGATGGAATTCCGGATCATTTTCATGCATTTCAAGTACCCAATCAGCAAAGACACGACGATGTTGATGATCGGCCGGCCTGAGTTCTTGTGTTAACTGAACTTTATAAGCCTTAAGACCCAAGTCTTTATGCAAAATACGGCGTAATGACGTTTGTGGAATGCCCAATTCCAAAGAACGACGAGGAATGGACAAACCTGCGTTTTCTTCAACAATTTGTGTGATCCACAAATTGTTGTTCCTAGTCTGGGTGTTCTTTGTGTCCGTTTCATGTATGTTTGTAAAGTCCCCCGCGACACAGGAATATATATTCCTAATGCGGGCGTTGTCTTTTTTAAAAAAAAAAGAAAAAAAAAACTTTGGGCTACAGCAGCAATATTCTCAGTTGTTCTTGAGCGACGTGCACGGGTTTTCTTCTTCACATCCCTTCCCTCTGGATATCTGAGGCGATCAGACGTGTTAAAAGTGCTTCTGTGTTGAATTTTTAAATAAAATACGATAAATCTTTAATAGACGTCAATACAAAATCTACCATAAATAAGTGTTGCAGTGATCTATTTTTGCAAAGCTCCATTGCTGCTTTGACGCGTGAGTACACATTGAATGCATAGCCCCATACCTCACAACGCATGTTCTACAAAAAGAGATAGACATACTGAGTGGACACAGATCAAGCTACGATTGACGGAAAGCATATTTATATGAAACTGTCGCGACCGTCCAGCTTATGTTGAGCTCCTTTCACCTGATCGGTGTAACTACGATTCATAAGTTTATTATTATATTGCAAATTGTCAGTAAATACCTACATACATACGTGTAATATGCCAGTCGATCGCACACCGCCAAAACAACAAATTACATTGCCTACGCGCACGGTCCAGCGCCAGCGTAGCGACTCGGAACCAAACTTAAACTTAAATGACATGCAGTGTGAATTGGAAAACCTAAACGTAACCGTCCGCGCAAAACGTAAGCGCTCGGAGGACAGTGGCGATGTAAACTTGTCCGTATTTATGTCTGAGATGACGAAAATGTTCCATGATTTTAAAAATGAACAGGAACTAAAAGTTTCTGCGATATTGGCTTCTGTTACTGATATCAAAAAGCAAAACAGCGATATTTGTGCTTCTGTTGAGTATGTATCGAAGTCATACGACGCTTTGCTGGAGCAGATAAATCATTTAAAATCAGAACGACAAGAAAACCTCAACTATATCCGTACCCTTGAGAATAGATTAGAAAAAGCAGAACGCAATGCTCGATTTAGTTGTGTGGAGATCCGAAACATTCCCCCAAATAAAAAGGAATCTAAAGAGCAGCTACTACATACCATAATTGCGACCGGTAGAACCTTAAACATCCCCATTGAATCATATGAAGTCAGAGACATCTTCCGTATACAGACCAAAGAACCTGACCAAAAACCCATCATCGTAGATTTCACTAGCGTCATAAAGAAAGAAAGGTTTATTCAAATGTATAAACAATTTACTAAGAACACAAGATTAACTACGGAACACCTTAAAATAAGTGGAACATGTAAACCTATATTTATTTCAGAAAATCTAACCCCGGTAATGAAACGATTGTTCTTTTTATGTCGAGATTTTGCTAAGGTGCATGAATATAAGTACTGTTGGGTTTCACATGGTAAAATATACTTGAGGAAGACGGAAGGTGCCCCATCCTTTTTAATAAAAACGGAAACTGATTTATCTAATTTGAAGGTTCCTAAATGACTGGACTGGGTGGTATTACTGATCTATTGCAATGTCACATTTTGTATATTATCTATTACTGTCTACGAATCTTACCATATTGTTAGCCATTATGTAATAGCTCATATTGTACGTGAACGGTTTAGTCGGAAAACCCTGCGGGTCTGGGGCCTTACTCTTGAATTCGATTCCGATCGATCGACATTGGAATTGTGAAGTTTCGTACTCTTGAATTCGACACTAGCGCCAAATTGAAATCAAATTGGGTGACGATTTGGAGAACTAACTGAAATCGAAATTACCAATCGCCACACGCAAACGGTACTCTTGAATTTTTTGACAGCTTGTTTGACAGCGATAAATTGAGTTCGTATCGTTTGGAGATTGGGATCTACTCAATAGCCGAAGTGTAACTTTTTTGAAATTGTTTCACGTTTCATGTGGTTTTAACTGAACTATAAGTGGATAATATGGCTCATTTAGTAGTAATGTACAATATTTTACGTGAAACTAGAAAAAAATGTGTTAAAACTGAGACGAAATGTGCGTCGAATGATGCGATATACGGAGAAGGCGTTCTCTATAAGTGAGGAAGAATTTAAAGCCAATTACCGAGTGAGCAAATATTTATTTGAGGCAATTCCTGAAAATATAAAGCCTTTTATGCCAACTCCTAAGAGAAGAAGTGATATATCACCGAAATATAAGGTATGTTAACATTACAACTTGTAAGGTGTCCATACTTATTTTTTTGTGAGAAGATTAACTTAATATTTTCATCTAAATTGTAGATTCTAGCGGCACTATCGTTTCTTGCGACTAGAAGTTACCAAAGGCTGGTTGGAGGCACATATGGCACACTGATGTCGCAGCAATCTGTATCTCGTGCTATCAAAGAAGTTACAGCAGCTCTCAATCACCATTATGTTTAAAAAACAATGGATTAGGTTTCCTCAAACCCACCAAGAAAGAGATGCTATTAAAACAAGGTACTGTAAAAGTTCTACTTATCTAGAATACTGCATAATATTGCTAAAAGTAGCCTAAAACATAGTATATGGAAGTAATTTTAGTTGAGACACCTTAGCTGTAAGCATGTAAATGTAGTGTAGTACTCCCTAAGTGTCTATTGTATGTATTAGGCTTATAACTAAAATAAAAGTAATTTGAATTTGTATGTAATAGCTTTACTATAATAATATTAAACAATACTTTGTTTCAGGTTTTATGAAACATACCGGATCCCATCAGTATTAGGTTGTATTGATGGCACTCATGTGGCCATAATTAAACCAACAATTAGGGAACATGAGGAAAGATTTTTTATTCGCAAACATTTCCACTCTAGAAATGTTATGATTGTAAACACTTATTTTGATGAAATTTTTATCAACTAAATAACAATTTAGAGTATAATTTAGTTCTATCTTTTTATTTATATTTACAGATATGTGATGCATTTAAAAATACTGTCAGTTGATGCATCCATTGGAGGAGCATCTCATGATAGTTTTGTTTGGAATCAAAGTTCTGTGAAACAACATTTAATTGATTTAAACAGTAATAATGGAGATGTTTTTTTACTAGGTTAATATTATTATGAATAAAGTCAACTATTATGCATTCTTATTTTGTTAAACTATCTAATGATTAACATTTTTAAATTCTAACAACTTGTGTTAAGATTTTAGTTTTTAAGGCAAATTTTATATGATGTTCTTTTATAATTTTATACTGCGTTTATTCTGCTATTTCTAATAAGATTTTATGTATTAATTTAATATATGTCAATATAAATGTTTTGGCCTATAATGGTATATTTTATTTTAAGTATACAGTGACATTTCAATTTTAAAAAGTATTATAACAAATTTTCACAACACTGCCATATCAATCTTTTATAAATTGTATTTTTAGAGGTTATTGTTGTTTGTTGCAATGAGCCAACTTGAGCAAATTCCATAGGAATGAGTAATACTCAAAAAAAGTATCAGTCGCTTCGTAAAACCGAGTTTTAACTATTGAAAGTTGTATAAAGTGAATACACAGTTAAATAAGGATAATAAAATTCCTATATAGGTATATTTACGTCATTAGTAAAATAATATCTAATAATATTAGGATACAATAATAATATAAAAACAAAATCAAGGGTCTGGCATCTTCCTGGCTATTTCTTTAAGGGCATTGCTAACTGACAGCAATGCTTCAGTAATCTTTGCTTTCATAGTAGGCAAAAGTATAATCACATACAGCCAATAGTGTAAATTATTTTAAGATTAAAATAATTTTCTTGCAGAAAAAATAATTAATAACGTTGCAAATAATCAGCTGATCAATCGTTTTTGTAGTATTTATTTATTAGTCTTGTTTTGGAAACGATTGGCCATTTCAAAGCTTTACTCCTGTTTTATCGTAATGTGTTGAACAACTCTAATTCGGCGGTTACGTAGCTAACTTCAAGTGTCACCGTCGTCATGGCAACGCAATCGCCGGCCGATACCAATTTCAATCCAATTTGACAATATTGTTTTCAAGAGTACCGATTATAGTGACATTGAAATTGAAATTGGAATTGGATTACTATTGGATTGAAATCGGAATCGAATTCAAGAGTAAGGCCCCTGTTCTATATTTTTTTATATATTGTTAGTTATAGGATCATATAATTTGTCTACACTACATGACACACTCCTACATAAACATTACTACATTACTCACGAAACAACTACTACACACAACACATTCAACTACTTTCACACCATTGAGTTAAAACAACACTAGAGAAGCAAACCTCATTATCACACGTCGAAAAAAGTGTAACCACTTTTGAACTTTGACGACGTAGCTTTGATACCACGAAACATTTGAAAGTAAACATATTTATGTCTCATTTACACGCGAGACAAGAACAATACCATCGCTCGGATTAGACAAAGACAAAGACATAACTTTACGATGGTGGGCCAGTGTTGACTACCGTATGAAATTTTACCCATAACAACCAAGAAACAATTTTTTTTTAAAACAATTTTGTAATAAAATAAATTAATTTAAATATTTTAAATAATATATTTCGAATTGAATGGAATAGGTGTAAATAATAAAATAACTAAAAATATTTGGTTAAAAGGGTTTATATACAGTGTAAAATCAAACTCCGCTATGAAGCATCAGTTTTGTATACAATTGTCTTTTAGACTCTTTTTTATAAGTTTGTGTGAATATTTTACTTTCATGATACAATCTTATTTTTACCTATGTATAAATAATGGCATTTAATAGTAAAAGTGAATGATCAACTTGTACTGATAATAAATAATCCCCAGGGTGTATTGCAAATTCTTTTAATATATTAAAATACAAATAAAAAAATATATAAAAAATATATTTTTTTTTTGTTTTTTAATTTTTTTTTATTTATATTTATTTACTTTTTTATTTTATATATATATTTTTTTTGTACAATTGTTATTTATATTTGATAATTAATTAAGAAAAATGAATGAATAAATGAATTAATTCTTTTATACAAAAGTCTCCAGCACTGCGAGCTTGGCAGAAGGTGAACGTTCAACGGGTCCCTAAAAAAAGTGATCGATTCAGCCCTAACAACTACCGTTCTTCCTATATTGTATTATTATTGACAAAATGTTTAAAAACAGTATAAAGCATATTATTTCATAAATTATAAATTCTCCCACTAATGTGGGAAAACAAAAATGATTTTTTAATGGTAACACTGATTCTAAATTACAATTATCAATGTTTTATTTCAATTATAGCCTTATTTACGATATTATCAATACAAAAACCATAAACTTACACGTGATAAGTAATTCCGCATGATTTATTATGGTTTTGTGACCTTGAATCGCATTCTTTCTCTACGCATTTACATATTTTGGCGATTGTTACTGTCATGTGTCGCTATGTTCAACTCGGTTGACGGCACATTGAACACTGAATTGACGTTTGCTACGCATATGCCTGTGGACAGATGTGCAGTAGCAACGATTTTAGGCGGTAATTACTCATCTATGTAAGTATTATATCAATGTTTCACACATTGCGGGCAGCTGTTTTTTATAATAATATGTATAGAAAACTGTTTCTGATACTGGGTTTACTAGTACTCTTGTATCACGATACGTTTGGTGAAGTGATAGAGACCCATTCACTATTATGCCGTGCTAATATTGTGGGTTCGGTTCCCATTCGGGACATAAATGTGTCTGATCTACAAATTATTATTTTTTCCAATTCATATTTAAAGCAAATGAGGTATCTACGTCTAAAAAGCTCCCTTATTATTGTTTACAGCTGTGGCTTGCTTGTGGAGCTTGCCGCCACACAAATAAGGTATGTTATGTCACTGTTAATTTCACGCTTTGAATGGAAAATAGTTATTTATTAAATGAACTTGAACATATGGAAGTTTCAAAATCCCTTATTTGCTCACCTGAGCAGAGTATTTTATACATAAATGACGCAAATACTTCAATTAAAATAATCCATCTCAATATTCGAAGCATTAGTTGCAACTTCGACCAATTATTAACCCTATTACAAAGGATACCAACTAAATTTGATATAATCGTTTTGTCAGAGTGCTGGTTGGCCAAATGCCCTAATCTACCTAGCTTAGGCGGCTATATTTCCCATGCGTCGCATCACCAAAATCAAAATGACGGAGTTGCTGTTTACGTTAGAGACGAACTCAAATGTACCGTGGAGTCACCGATTTTTTCTGAGGCAAACTGTTTGATAATTAAATACAATAATATATTTGCTCTGGTTGCGCTTTACCGTTCGCCTTCATACAGATATACTGATAGATTTCTGGAGTTTTTGAATAACACTTTAAATTACATAAACAATTACCAAAATGTTGCGGTTATCGGGGATATAAATATTAACATTGCGCCCGACAACTTTGATCATAACTGTGACCAATATTTAAATACTATTATGTCCCACGGCCTAATGGCCGCTCATACCCTGCCAACTCGTAAAAATAGTTGTCTTGATCATATTTTAATAAAAACCAAGAATAATGCCACTACTATGGTACTAGATACTTATATTACTGACCACGCGCCTATTATCTTAAACTGTAATCTTAAAATAAATAGTTACAGAAAGGAGCGTCTAGCTAAACGCGTAAATCATTCGGCTTGCGTGACAGAGATCAATGGGATGGACTTCGGTCAAATTCTATCCTGTGATGATGGAAATAGTGCCGCTGAACTACTTGTGGACTCAATCTCTGCAGTAATTAAAAAAAAACACCCATCCGCTTGGGATCACCAATAAAAATAAAATATTAAAGCCATGGATTACCCCGGGTCTCTTACGTTGTATACGAAACCGAGACAAACTCTATATTAATCTAAAAAAAGACCCAGAAAACTTAATTTCAAAAACGACTTTTAATAGATACAAGTTTTTTTGTAATCGTTTGTTAAAAGCCGTAAAGAAACAGTATGAACAGAATGAATTTGGTAGCCTCAATAAGAACCCGAAAGACACTTGGAAATTTGTAAAAAAGTTGGGCAATATTAACAAACCTAGATCTTCATCCAATGACCTTTTAGTGCCTTCAGTAGATCCTACTTTCACTGCAAATTCGGTAAATAAATATTTTGTAAATATTGGAAAAACCCTTGCATCAAAAATTATCTCTAGGAATACCGCGTATGACAATACCCCTAAGATAAACGACAACGGTCTGTTTTCTCTTCGATCCTCAATGGCCCTTTACCAGACCGACGAGTCAGAAATCGATCACCTTATTTTAAGTCTCAAAAACACGTCAGCTACTGGTTGGGATGGTATCTCTACCGCAATTATAAAAGACACCAGGTTTGCACTTACCCCAACAATTGTACATGTGTTCAATCTCTGCCTTGCATCTGGTGTTTTCCCGGATGTGTTTAAGATAGGTCTTGTACATCCCGTGCATAAAAGCGGTGACAGAGGCAGTGTTAATAACTATAGGCCCATTTCAGTCCTTACCACCCTATCAAAGATTATGGAGAAGTTATTAAACAACAGGTTAAAAAGTTATCTAAACGAAAATAATATTTTGGCTGAAAATCAGTTTGGTTTCCGTAGTGGTAAGTCAAGTGAAGATGCTGTATTGGAGTTAACTAACTCAGTTGTTAGATACTTTAACTCAAAGTCCAAACCACTAGCTATATTCTTAGACCTCTCCAAAGCCTTTGACACTGTCTCTGTGCCGATTATGCTCGGGAAGCTGGAGAGAATTGGTGTTCGGGGGGTGGTACATGACATTTTCCGTAGTTACCTTGAGAACAGACATCAGTGTGTCAATATAGATGGTTTCGTGAGTGAGCTGGAACCAGTGGTGTTCGGTGTGCCTCAGGGTAGCATCCTTGGCCCAACCCTGTTTTTAATATATCTGAACGATTTGTGTAAACTTGTGCTAACAAACTGCAAGATTATTACTTACGCTGACGACACTGTTCTCCTGGTACACGGTGATACCTGGTCAGAAACAACTCGGTACGCTCAAGCAGCTATGTGTACTATTACCACCTGGCTATCCAAAAATCTCTTAACCTTAAATGTGGAGAAGACCAACTTCGTTACTTTCGCGCCAAAGTGTACCTCATTGCCTACTTCTGTAATTTTGATGGCTCATAGTGAGTTATGTGCCCGAAATTCAAGTTGTTCTTGCCTGCAGATTACTAATGTAACCAAAGTAAGGTACCTCGGAGTATGGATCGACAGCCACCTTTCCTGGAAAGAGCACTTAAAAATTACTACCATCAGAATTAGAAAGCTGATGTTTGTCTTTAAAAATCTAAGAACAACCCTTGACCTCCATACATTAAAAATGGTATATTACGCTCTTGCTCAGTCTGTTCTATCGTATTGTATAAGTGCCTGGGGTGGTACTGGTAAAAATAAGCTCCTTGCTCTGGAAAGAGCTCAGAGAGGAGTACTATAGGTTATGACATTTAAACCTATTCGCTATTCTACCGTCGACTTATATAGTGAATTGAATATACTTACGGTAAGAAAATTGTACTTATTAAATATGATCTTACGCAAACACAGGGAATTACAATATAAGTTGAATCCTAATAAAAGAAGGAATGACAAAGTATGTGATGTGGAATTCTGTAGACTGGAGCTGTCGAAAAGGCACTATTATTATTTGGCTCCCGTATTATATAACAAGGTGAATAAGGTGTTGCGTATCTACCCTTGTATATTTCGTGAATGTAAACATAAAGTAACGCAGTGGTTGCTTGCCCTAAATTATAATGATACCGAACGTCTCCTGACACGACCTCAATGAGAAATTCGATCAATCTTAAATTGATGAGTTTTTGGAAACACCGGCCTAAAGACACACACATGTACACATACATATGCTCTTTCAAACACCACACACATGCACAGACGAACACACACACACACACATATGCACACACATAACACACACATATGCACACACACACACATACACACACACACACGCGCGCGCACAAACACACACACACACGCGCGCGCACAAACACACACACACACTAACAATTCTACGTATTCTGACCCACACTTCTTATAACAATGTTAAATTAATTTATAACTTTGATTTGGTTTATATTCAGCAAGCATGATGAAACTTGTAACCTGTAACTTATCTTCCGGAGGTGGGCGTTAATGGCTGCAACACAGTTATGAACTATAGCAGTCATTATCAACCATATTCTACTGTGCAATTTGTTACTTTTAGTTACAAAGAATAAACTTTTTATGTTTTATGTTATGTATACATCACTAACTTGTCCCAACAGGTCGAATTTTTCCACCAATTTCTGTATTGCGATCCGACAAGGTGCTTCACGACGACCAAAAAATGCTTTAGTTTTGTGAACTGTGACTGCAAGATTTTCACCATTTTTGTAGTGAATTTTAATAATTTCAATGCGTTGTTGAAGTGTGTATCGTTCCATTTTTAGTAATGGCGTAGTTTCTACTTGTCAAATGTCACAAAATAAAAGCTTCAAAAGTGACAGCTACCGAAATACCGGGTGATTCAAAATAACACCTCTTGTTGGAAAACCCTTTACATATAAACCTTCCTCCTGAATCACTCTCTATTTGTGAAAACCGCATTAAAATCTGATGCTTACTTTAAAAGATCTAAGCGTAAAACATAAAAAAGCGACTTTATTTTATACTATGTAAAGCTGACACAATGGTCATTAGAATCTTAAAAGTCGAAGATGCTTAAATAAATGTTTATTAACGTTTTTGGGAAAAAGGATCAGTACTCTGTATTTACAGGAATTAATTAACGACTTAATATGTTGGTAATTGGCTTGACTTAATTTTTAATATAATAATCCGTAACCGTCCGATCTCAAACTAAGCAGAGTCTGTATCATGGTAATCAATATACTCATAAACATACTTATGTATTTCGAAATATATACATATAGATAATTTGCACCGAGACAGAACCAAATTGGTGGGGCTCAGCACACATTATGTGTCCTGGGTCACCAGGCAGTCACTATCGTTACCCACTAGATCAACAGTATTAATTAGGATATGTGTTACAAGTAAAACAAATAAAAATATTACCTATCTGAGCGAGTTGAGCGCGGGGTAAGGCGCGGCGTGCGCATGCGCCGCCACGTGCGCGCGCAGCTCGCCGGGCGTGGGGAACGAGCGCGGGCACCACGAGCACTTGTGCGGCTTGTTCTGTGGAGCATGTACACTAACACTTAGGTGCCTAATACTCACACACTACTTGATATTAACTTACCCAGGCGCTATTTATTGTTAATCGCGATTTTGAACGAATAATAATATTACCAGGAAAATAAATATGTTAATGTCAAATCAAATCAAAAAAGGGAGGATCCCGCGATGTGGTGACTTCCACACACGGTGTAACGAAGAAACATACTACAGCGCCATCTACAGAGTAACTGCTAATCCTGTATCGCGTATCCTGTATACTGTATATATATATATACGAGTATATATGTGTATATATCGGCCAAAATTTCCTTTTTAAGGAAAGGCCTATGTCCAGCAATGGAATATTAAAGATCGTTGATGATAATTTAATGATGTTAATGAAATAAAGATATTTCGACTTTGAAGAGGGGCAAAAGAGCAGACGGGTCACGTGATGGAAAGCGACCGCCGCGTATGAACGCCTGCAACTTGAAGTCACAAGCGCATTGCCGGCCTCTTTTGGCCAATTTACCCCCTAAGTGACCCCGAAACTGGACTTCGCTCTATATGTTGATGCCTAGGACTATAATTCCGATGAGGCAGTTAGGGAGGTGCTCTCGTTGGTAAAGGAACGCAGTAATAGGAAAGGAATATAGCTTATACGAATTGATTTGGGAGTGTTAGCAATAGGTCGAGTAGATCAGAATCCTATTTGGAACCCGAACTGGCTGCTACTTGAGAGTCCAACCTCTCTAACCTTAGAAAACCATTTAACTTTGTATAAGTAAAAGGTACTCAATTATGTCCGTGTGGTGACGAATTAAGAATACTGAGTGTCACCACCCCTATTCATCCCGTGGGTGTCGTAAGAGGCGACAAAGGGAGCGAACTACGCAGGTCAACAGCACTGCAGAGAGAAGGAAAACTTGACACAAACCCTATACCAACCGTCTAGCCAGCGTGGTATAGTAGGCCAAAACCTCCTTTTTAAGGAGAGGCCTATGTCCAGCCGTGGACTGTTAAAGGCTGTTGATGTGATGATGAATTATGATCATTACTGTTTTTGGTAATTCAAAACAGAAACACGTCAACATACCTTGGTATGTGTCATTCGATGGTAGTACAAATTGGAGCTTGCTGTAAAACATTTGCCACATTCAGGACATTTATGTGGCTTTTCACCTGTCAATGAGAAATTAAGTCAGAACTATGTGCATATTTAGATAATATGTTCAGGTCATTATACCTCTGAGGTAGAATCATTAGATTGCAGTTAGTGCTTTGGTTATGGTTTAGGGGCAACGAGCAGACGGGTCACCTGATAGTGACTGCCGCCGCCCATGGACCCCTGACAACTCAAGAGTGACAAATGCGTTGCCGTCCTTTGTATCTTCCCTCCAGAATCAAAGGGATTATGGTAACCTCACTCACTGTATGATTCTCCCAGTGTTGCTTTCTTATTGATCAATTGTTGTAGTGACGGCATAGCTGAACTTCTAGCTTATTTGGCGCTGGTATATCGCGAAGTAGCTGTTTGATATTAACTTGTGACAGAGGAGTCTGTCATGGTCTGCTTCTTCACTAAATTTTATCAGGACCACTGAATGAAGCGTACCCTACGCTCAATGGAGTAAGCTTGTTTCCATACTACTATAAGTTCCCGGCAGAGTTATTACAGCGGAACCTGAGAGCCATGCTTGGACACATGTGAGCCAGGCTCGATCGGTGTGATATTACGGCCTCACAGAAAACCGGTGTTAAGTAGTTCCTTAGTTGCTTTTCACCGAGTGAGTGAGGTTAGCGGAGTTCAGCAGTGCACTTTTGACTCTTCAGTTGCAGGTGTCCATGGGCGGCGGAAGTCACTTACCATCGGGTGACCCGTCTACTTATTTGCCCCTATACCATAAAAAAGAGAATGAGGGATGGCGCCTCTTTGCTTCACTGTTAGTAACGCAATATTTGTAAACTTATGTGAAATACCCGTGTGTATCCTGCGGTGCGTGTTGAGGGAACTGGACGTGCTGAATCCTTTGTTGCACACGTTACAGATGTGCGGCTTCTCACCTAAAACAATTTTAATTATTTTTTGAATCACCTATTATATCTTATGTAGATACGTAGTTTATTCCTTACGAGAAAAAGTCATTTTTTTTCTTGATATGTATCTGTATATTATTTAGGAGTCTTACTTGAGTTGAGTACTTGAGTTAAGGTAGTTTGCCCGTGGTATTCAAAATTATTATCTAAAATGTGGTGTCTAAGAATATATAAAAAAATCATTTTTGAGGTTATGTAACTCTTCAAATTTTATGATGCTTAAAAAAGTACACAGGGTATTTTAAAGGCTAAGTTTTCAACTTTCAAATGACTTTGAGTTTGCTTAAATATCATTTTTTTCGCCTCAAAACTAATCAAATACTGCCCACCCCGAGTTCAGCTAAGCAAATCTTTAACTGAACTACAATCCTTTAAACTGAGCAAACCGTGTTCACTACTATCTCAGCGAAAAGAAATGATATTTGAGCAAACTCAACGTTATTTGACTTGAACTTTAAGATTCAGAACTTATATATAAGAACCTTGTGTACTTTTTTAGGGATTGAGCGCACCAAAATCCTTCAGGAAGGTATGCTCTGGTGTCTGGCAAAAAAACTTTGTAAAATTTTGTTGGCCTGTGTAATCAATGCTTAAAGAATTACATGGTGAGGAACTTGTATACTACACTGTACTCTATTGTAACACCCAGATTTGAAAGTATTTTCTTTAGTGAAATCAAGTGTTAAGCTCTCAATAAATTTCTGAATGGCTAGATTCTGCTATAGTCTCTACGGGGTTCCTATTACTGTGATTTTGTATGTACGGGCTACAACTTAATAAAATATTTAAGTATCGAAGTCCTCTAAATGATTGGCGGATTCAGCTAAGCGCGTACAATAGTCGACACACAAACCGATTCTGGAGATTTATGAACGAGCTTTTTCACCTGTGTGAGTCCTCATATGCCTTTTCAATAGCGACGGCCTGTCAAAAGTCTTCAAGCAAACCTGGCATGGCAGTATATTCTTCATGCTCACCGTCCTCGGCGGCAGAAATGTCTCCTTGTTACAAACCAGGTTAGTTCTCTCGTACAATTTAACTAAATGGTTGTTGAGGCCTTCCAGAAATTTAAGATCGATTATATTTAGAACTTTATTCGGCTTTTTGCCTTTTGTTGATAGATCAAGTGGTTCCGTCTGAATTTCCATGGTTCTACCTTATACGAGTCGATTTAGGATTTAGGCCTTAATTATCATAAGTAATTGGTCTAACACTATAAGACATCATGACTTGGTAATTCTTGAAAACAATTATAAACCCATTGTGAATTAATATGAACGGAAAATTTAATATTTCTAATCCATTACTTAAATTGATTAATTTTTTTTGATATTCCACTACGCGTGAAACGATTTCCTCGCAAATTTCCACAGGTAACTGTCATAATTTCCTCTGGCGCGTCGTATTTAAAGGCTTGGTATTGACGTGTACAAATGACAGGGTGATATTAGTGTATTAGATTGTATAACTGTTGTGTCGAGGATCGGGAGTATTGTGGCCGCCAACAATGAGTTTTGTAGAGCACGGGACACTAATCGACGTGATTGGGCTGTTTTTTGTATTTTGGACTGGAGATAGGAAGAGACGGATATGGTAGTTTTTCGTGATTTTACAAACAGTTTCAGTTATTTGAAAACCAATTTTAGTAAACACTAATTTTAGCAGGGCCACCAGCAATTCTGATATTAATGATATTCGTGAATGATTCGAATCTTACATTTTATGGAATAGGGGGAAAACGAGTAAACGAGTCACCTGATGGAAAGTAACTACCGCCGCCCATGAACGCCTGCAACCAGCCAGCATTTGAGGAAGGAGTACGCTCTTTTCTTGAAGGTTTAAAGGTCGTATTGGTCCGGAAATATCGCAGCCGATAACTTGTTCCACAGATTGGTAGTGCAGGCAAAAAATGTCTTGAAAAGCGCACAGTGGTGGAGCGCTAATTATTCAAGTGGTGGGGATGAAAATGATGGAAAGGATGCCGTGTAGAACGATGGCGGAAGGTTGCACATCTACATGTTATTACATAATGTATCGTTTCTATATCTACCAGAAAGGCACACACTATGAAACACACAATTAATCACTTTATGCATTTCACATCTTCAATTATTGTGTACGGTAATTTTAGGTTATATCAAAATTAAACTAAAAAAAGCCGTGTCGTGGGACACCCGATAGGAACGAAGTTGTGACGATCGAGTAAAACTGATTCGACACGATTTTAATTACAACGCCATCTATGAAAGCGGCTATTACTCACATATTTTTCAGTTGGTTTCTAATTAAAACAATTTATACATTGGTAAAAACTCCTTGAAAAATGATTTCCTATCTATTTGATAGATGGCGCAGAATGACTGACAAGTGACAATTCAAAATAAATACTGAGATGAAAAGTAATGATTTCCTATCTATTCGATAGATGGCGCTGAATGACTGACATAAAAAGTGTCGTTACAACTTTTCGTGAGAATTTTTTCCGTCTAGCCCCCTTTCACAACGCGCGATAAGGAACTTCGTTTCAAAAGATCACCTTTAATTGTTTCATTAAAACCAGAAACAGTAACTTCAACAACTATTGTGGTTACAGCGACAATACAGCTGCCACAACAATAACAGAAACCTTCTTTCAGTAACCTTCTTTCTTCTTTCTTTTTTCTTTGGGTAACCAAAGGTAAAGTGTATGGCGTACCTTATAATATAACAATCATATTTTCCAATACGAGAGATATACTTATTATATTATAATTTAAGTACGTCTGTGGTACAATTTTGATTCACTGTGTGTGTGTCATGTCATGTGGTACAATTTTATTTTGATTCACTGTTGTTTGAAAAAAGAAAATAACGCATCCAAACGTATTACATGCATGAAAAGTATTGAAGAAAACGTAATCGGGTATAAAGGTGACAGTGCAAAACTTTAGACGTCCACGCATTGTGCGACAAAGCGCAAGGAAAGCGCGCCCATACAAATATTTACGATTGCTCGCATTGTCGTGGAAACTGTCAATCACAGCCTTTCAAATTACCTTTACAATTTGTTGAGATTTTCCGAGCGCCATTCGAAAACTTTAGTATACGTCGATATTCTATCCACAAAATACAATACATTCAAACAGTAATTTTCTTAAAGTTTTTGAGTGAATAATTGTAACTTCACACATCTCACATACGGCAGTCTGATCACAAACGAGGCGGAGCCTGTACTACGATAACCATCCTAAACATACTTATATATTTCTAAATATATACATTTTATAGATAAAACCTAACGACTGACCTGTTGGTCTAGTGGTTACTGGCTCTGACTGCTAAGCCGGAGGTCGTGGGTTCGATTCCCACTCAGGACGAATATTCTGTGATGAGCACGGTCATTTGTTCTGTGTCGGGGTGTAATTTATCTATAATATGTATGTATTTAGAAATATATAAGTATGTTTATCAGCAGTCTGGTTACTATAGTACAGGCTCTGCCTAGTTTGAGATCAGACAGCCGTGTGTGAAATCTGTGAGAAATATTATTATAATTAACCTCCAGACACAGAGTAAATAATCGTGCTCATCACACAGTTTATTTGTCTTGGGAGGGGGAATCCTCTGGCTTAGCATCACTATCCCCTAAACCAACAGGTTCGTCGAGTCGCGTCGCGTCTTCCAAATAGTGTTGTGAATTTTATCGTTCTTTTTTTTTCTGCTCAATATTGTATCTGTTTGTACCTGTAACGTTAATACTTGGTTAATTACCAAGTATTAACATACACAGATAAATTAATGTATCGGATATGCGATGGAACATACCTAGGATTTAACAATTATGGGGCAGGAAGGGAACATTGGGGTTCCCACTAAGGTGATCTACCTGCTGTAGACGGCCCGAGGTACGTCAGGGTACCAGGGCTTTCCTTTCTAGAGTATGTTGGTTCCCGGCTACTGGTCCCTGTAGACGGCGTGCGGTTTTTGGTCGGTTTGAGTCCGACATAATCACCCCACTGGTGGGTAGTACCCGAGCGGAGTTCCGCTCGAAAAAAGAAAATATATTTAATAATATTATAATTGACTAACATGTGAATTTGTGATTATTAACATATTATTATTAAATTACATTATTATTTTTATTATTTGAATGTTTGTTTTTCTCAGTTCATAGTTAGTTTTTACAGTTTTTAGGTTGTATTATTTAAATTAAATTATAAATTAAGTTTTAATATTATTATTAAATCATTATCATCACCTACCACATCAACAGCCTATAAATAGTCATCTGCTGGACATTGGCGGTTCTGGCATTTTGGCGGGTTGGTATAGGGTTTGTTTCAAGTTATGGTAGGGGGAGGAGATGGTAATCTGAAGAATCGGCCTATGGCGTGCGGTGTTCCGCAGGGGTCTGTTCTTGGACCCCTTCTATGGAATATAGGGTAAGACTAGGCCCTTCGAGCTGATTTTCTCCCCGGGTTGGGTGTCATTTGTTACGCCGATGACACATGGGTCACGGCCCTGGGGGCGAACTTTCTAGAGGCGGCACGCCTGGCCACCAGGGGAGTCACTCTGGTGGTTGGGCGCATTGAGGCGCTGGGGTTACGGGTGGCCTTGGATAAGACGGAGGCCCTCTTATTCTATGGGCCCCGTTGTGGTCCACCTCTTGGCGCCTCAATCGTGGTCAACTCGGTCCTCGTACCGGTTCGAGCCCAGATGAAGTATCTGGGTCTGATCCTTGACGGGAGGTGGCTCTTCGACGAGCACTTCCGACAGCTTGCTCCAAAGCTTGACTTTAACCCAATTTGGGTGGACCCAGCGTCGTTACAAGACGATTTTACACGGGGGTTGTCCGGTCAATGGCACTGTACTGTGCACCAGCTCTGACCGCTCAGAATGGGGCACGCCTCTGGCGATCTCAGAGGATATTGGCGGTTAGAGCCATACGCGGTTACCGCACCGTTTCGACGGAGGTGGCTTGTGCGTTGGACGGTACTCCCCCGTGGGATTTGGAGGCGGAAGTGCTCGCCGAAGTATATCAGGACGCAGGTCCTTTCCGGGCACGGCTGCTTCGGGAAGTACCTGCACTCGGTCGCTAGGAGGGAATTGAGTCCCGCATGCCACCACTGCGATTGCAGTGAGGACTCCGCTCAGCACACGCTAGCAATTTGTCCGGCATGGGCGTCCCAGGTCCTCATTGCAGTCATCGGAGGGGACCTCTCGCTACCATGGCCGGTAGTGACAGATATTTTACCGCGGTCGCATCCTTCTGTGAAGACGTCTTCTCGTAGAAGGAGGCGGCGGAGATGCCCCGATGGGATGACCTCCACTCGGACCCAATTCGCCGCCGGCGAACCGGGCACCGGAAGCGCGCCTACCAGCGCCGCATGCCGCCCTGAGTGTGGCTGCGTGTGGACGGGACGGGTTTTCCCCTCCACCCGCCATAATGGCCAGCCGTGCGCCGGACGTCACCTCCTCGCGGCTGCATGGAATGCGATTTTTTGGGCGCGCGATCCGCGCCCATAAAATCGTATTCCATGTTTTGTTGTCTTGAATAGTACATGGCTGCACGTCTCTGCACCTCGAGATCGACCGGAAGCACACCCGCCAACGGCAAATAACAACAGCAGTTCCCGGATCCCTCCTATTACAGGCGCAGAGTGGCACACCGTGTGTCCATCTGTCCATTTGTCCATCGGTCCGATTCCGACACACCACCGAGCCGCAAACCCCGGTGGGTTGACGGCCCGAGAGGGTTTCCACACGTAAAAAAAGGGTGTGTTTCAAGTTTTCCTTCTTTTTGCAGTGCTATTGTCTTGTGCAGTTTGTTCCCTTAGTCGGCTCTTACGACACCTAAGGGATGAACAGGGGTGGTGACATTCCGTATTCTTAATCCGTCACCACACGTATTCTTGATATCGTTGTTATCTAAAAATGTTATTTCTATGGGTATTTATTTCCTGCAAGGAATGATGATTATTATTATTGTTAAAAACTAAAGCAAATTAAGTAAATTTATCATAAATATTTAATTAATTTTAATTAATTATTAATTTTAATTTGTTTTAACAAAAAGCAATGTTGTCTTCTTTTCAGCATAGGTAGCATTTCTTGAGGACGCCTGGAATTAAATCAGCATTCAAAAACATTAATAATCCTATTTCGGACA